CGCATTAAAAACGGTTCAGTTTTCCCGGTTATAGGGATATTTTCTGCAATTGCAGAGCAGACAAGCTAGCCAGAAAGAGTACTTCAGGACCTCACTTGGAAAACCAAAGTAATCGTTAACATCATACAAACTGTTACTGAATTTTTTCTGTTCTGAAAAATTCTCATTGAGATACCCCATAGAGAAATCGGTCTTTTGGTAAGTTTACTTACAGGTCACTGTAAACGAGGGATCAATCTAAAAAATTAGGTCTCCCTTTCAATAAAATCTATCGCAACTGTGGGAAAGACGATGCGGTGACTCAGCACTTTAGGAGCCCCCTACCTTGAGGATTTTGATTAATTACAAGATCTGACACTCAATAGCATTTTAGGCTTCGCCAAGGGTTCTAGGTGGTTTTAAACACTGAGTTTTCCTACATATGCGGTAACAGAATGGATTAATAGGCCTAAGTGGATCCACTCAGGATCGCTGGTATAACCAATTAGCATCGGACCTCCGAATAACATCAAAAGTCTCGTAGATATATATGATCCCACATGAATTAAAGTCTATTAAAAAGCTTTTACTCAGAGCGCCTATGGTTAGTAGGAACAGTCAGCCACAAACTGAATTCCAATATGGACAAATGTTTTTTACTAGGCACCCTTCAGTATTAGATTATTGAAGCATAGTTGACAATTGCTCTTCAATTTCACTTAAACAAAAAGTTAGTGGTTTAAAATTCAAAATTGACAGTTTGTGTCACATTTTGTCATTTTCAATAAAATACTATTCCTACTAATAGTGTTATTCCTACAAACCATATATTAATGCAAAGAACCCACGATTTCGTCTGATATTGTGTTTTTCACTATCTAAAATATAAACATTTTATTTGGTAACGTATTTACCAAGCGAAATATGAGACTAATCATTATTAAAAATTTTTTGCAGAATCTAAAGAACTACTACTAAAGAAACGCCATTATTGTAAAAAGTTTTCACAACCTTAAAATGTACAGTGGTTAAACGTTGTTAAACGATTCATTTTGTATAATGGCAAACCTTAAACTAAACATATGGGAAGACTATTTTATATTCTAAAATTCCAAACTATCTCATACTTTTTATTGCTGAAGAATGTGCCTAATGAACTTACTACTGGGCTGGCAGAAATAATGTGCTATAGTATGCAACTCTACTCAAAGAACGAATGGAGCTATATACAGCTATATATATCTCTTTATTGTTGTGAGTTAACATAAACAACCAGATACTGTCACAAAACAGTATTGATATAAAAACTTTTATGAAAAGAGAGCGCCAATATAAACAGAAACATAAAATATATTTTACATGCTGTTATTGTAAATGCTATCAGTCAAGCTAGGTTTATTGGTACTCGTATGTGCTTATCAGAGCTAAAAACGAAATATCATTTAAAAGCGGTTCTTCGAAAGAGAACTATTGCAATCTCTCAACATAATCGCACTAAACCGTCGTATGTTTGGCAATCATTTATTTTCAGAAACAAAATAACGAGATAATATAATAAGGAAAGTATCCAGTAAACAAACTTACTAGTAAGGGCGAGTTTTTTTTCGATGACAAATAGAAATATTTACGACGGCATTTTCACAAACTGGGAAAATCGTCATATTGTGGAAAATGAAAGTTCAAATCGTTTAGAAAACTCACTTTTAGGGCATGGATGCCATAATGAAGTCATTTCTTCTGTTTGCTTGGACAGCAGCGATGATAACGAAGAAACGAATAATCCACCAAATTTTGAAAAGACTAAAAAGCATTTCCATATATTATCAAAACAGCGTACATCTACTAATCAGAATGCAATAAATAGTGATGGGACCTATAGTAATCTGCGTCTTGCATCTCAACAGACATCTCTTAACTTATCGCTACCTGATAATGCAGTATGTTTTTCATATTTTAAAAGTATCTTATTTAACTACTATTTTATATATAAGTATTATTTATATATAAATAGAAGTATTACAATAAAAATAAAGTTTGGTAAATCACGTTTAACAGATGGACGACTCTGAGCTTACCGAGCCCACAGCTTTAATATTAAACTACAGCAAGCATAAGGTATGTATAATAACGAGCCATTTGCAGTCACTTCTTATTAAAGATATTTTGCAGTTTCTGCGTCCTTATTTAATAATTTTGTATATAGTTGGGCTTAGTCCAATATCAACAGATTTAAGCCAATGCCGGCGGGTTCTAAGCCACTTACAAACATTATTGATCTTTCTTTTATTAGTATTTGGACATTTTTTACAATATCTGTGTTCATTTCGGTAAGAATGTTATATTTAAATGATCTAAAATCAAACATTAATATATGAAATTCAAATAGAAGTGATCAAGGGTATAATATATATAAATTAACCAGCTTATCAAATAAAACTAATACGTACACAACTGGTGAAATTTGCTTTGGATACATAATCCCGAATGCAGTATATGTAATAGGATTTTTATTGGCAGTCTTCGTTTGTAAATTAGGCGACAATGAACATTTACAAAACTTAATAGAACGGGTTTTTCTTATGTCCAAGAAACCCATACGCCTATGTCGTAGATTGTGGGCATATGTTATATCTGGATTACTTCTACAAAGCCTTTTTATTGGATATGTAATCTATTCAGTTCTTAAACAAGCTCAGCTCAACCCAATTTCACAAATAAAATTGCTTCCAGAGCTCCAGAACAATATGCAACTTTTTGGAGAAGTATAAAATAGAATATTGAAAAAAATAAAGTTTTTAATAAATTCAAATATTTAGATCGGCGTACTTTTAATACTATTTCTGCAGCACCTCGTCGAAACAATTATTTTGACCAATTACATTTTACAATGTCAATTACTAAGCGTATACCTAGAAACAATTTCGCACAATCTTTTAATGCGTTCTATTGATCCGTTAGATTGGATGCGGGCAAGAACAATTTTTCATTATTTAATCGAATATGTAATATGTTTGAAATAATTTTATTTGCAGGAATTGATGGAAATTAAAAAATTACTCGAATACCTCAATCGACGAATTGCTTTACCAGTTTCTATCTTTATTGTATTTAATCTATCCAACTGCCTTGCTGCATTTATACATCTATTTAGGAACATTGATAGTCATTTCGCTGATTTAAGGATTCCATTGTTTAACATGACAAACGCTTTATTATGGTTAATATTGGGATTGGTACCTTTTCTTTCGGCTGCATCGCTGACTCATGTTTGCCGCAGAACAAAAAATAGTGGACATGAGATACGTATTAGACGGTTTTGCTACCAAAATTCATCAATTGATGAACTTAATTCCTTACTTATCTTCACGTCATCACTACGTTTATCAGCCGAAGTATTTTGGATACCAATATCACCAAATTATCTGTGCTTCGTTGTTATGTTTATTTTTATTATATTACTTACACTAGGAATCTGTTCGAATTTCTCGACATTCAAAAATTTATAAATTCTTTCAATTATTTCAATTATTTCATTAAATTTTAATATATTTTATAGTTTCATAAAAAATTCTACTTATACATGTATAACAAATTTGTAAAGTTAATATATTGCTTGATTAAATTCTTTGGAAACAATTCTATTAACAATTCTATTAATTATATTATATAAAGTATCAAATGTTTCCTATATAATGCACACCGGTATTGTTTTACATTTTGACTTCGATTTAAATGATACACATTTTTTTTATCACAAATAAGCTCTACTTTACCAACCTAACCAAGGTGGATGATTGATTTTGGCAGGTGGAGTAAAAGTCAAATTTACAGGCAAGTTAATAACAGCATGTTTTCGTTTTAGTTTACGCAGTGTTGAACGAATAACTAAACCGTTCTTCCCAAGCAGAAATCCGGATGGGATTTGACAATCTCTATTCGTATTATCACTTATCATTTCAATATAATAATCGAACTCTGTCGATTCATTATTATACTCTGTTATAATTACAGCTTTAGCTCCAGCAAGCTCAGCATTTATACTTTTTGTAAGAAATGAACAGTCACTGAAAAATTTATCAATTTTTATTAATATTTAACTTATATGTATATGAGTGTGTTTACCCTCTATCAATTAACGCCACATTGCCTCGAAGATCACGTTGATTTTTAATTTGTTGACAAGCGTCAGGCGGATCAGTTGGAATTAAAGCGGCTCGTAAAAATCGTAGTCATGTAAATGAAGAACCAAATTTAGCAGGACGCAATCTGTATGTATAATGAAGATCTATAGGATCTATAATCTCAAAAAAAATGTCTCCAGCCACTATATCTTGCGTTGTTATTATATCCTGAATTGGAGGATATACAAAACAATTAATAAAGTCCACAAGATTTAAACAAATTAAAACGATTGCAGGAATGAAAATGCCGTCTACACCACCATATTTGTTTTTCATTGTATATTGTTTTCTTTAGGATTGTCATATGTATGTAAGCACGCAGCGAGTGGATTCTAAATAATTTAGCTTTATTTGGGGTTATTCAGCAAATATTTATGCAACTCTGAAATATTTCAATTTGCACATGTCCATGCGCTGAAGTTCGCAGTGTAATAATTATAGAGTAGTTATGATATACATATATTAATCTATGATATAAGCAATACTTTAAATATATGTTAAAGCTTTAATTTACAAAAATTTTTTAACGTTTTCACGAAATTTCTACGATATTTAAATAATATTTTAATTACTGTACCGCAAAATTGTATTGACTTAGAATTTAAGAAAAGAGTATAAAAAATTAAATTTTTCGTCAACTAAAATTTATTATAAGTTGTGTAATGTAATATCTATGTCGGATGATCATTTAATTTCTTTAGAATTTTAGTACAGAATAGAATATGTGTTATGTGATTAACGTTAAACTATAATTTCTGCAATGAAATCACAATAACTACTTACTTATTATATTTAATACTGCAAAATTACACTAAAAGTATTTCAGGAAATAATATAAAAAGATAAGACATTTATTCTGGCATGATTTTGTTTGTACGTAAAATAAATTGTTTTGTTTATTACATAAGTTTGAAAGGAAGATTTTTTTATATATAAAAACCTTGATTTGTTTCATAATAATTGAAAAATAAAAAATAAGTATTGTTTTTAATAAAGAAAAATTTATTTTCTTTAAAATAATGATTTTAAGTGAAACACATTATGATTTTTTTTAATTAATTATATACACGGTCCAATAACAACATAAACTCTTACTTTTACCATTTTGTTATATATATTTTTCTACAGTTCTTTTTCTAAAATTCATAATTCATTTTCTTGATATTATCACAATATCTATATAGGTATATTATTGTGATAAGATATAAATAACACCATAAACTATATGGAATCCAGACGTTGGGAAAAAGAAACAATTAAAAAAGAATATTAACTATTTTTTTTAATTTTTATTGATTTTCATATATATAAATATTTTAACAAACGGAATAAAAATATTTTATACATTATTTTGTGTGATGTATTTTGTAATAATACGTCCACGAGTATTATTACAAAAATACAACAGTGCAATTGAATTGCACCACTGAAAATTGACGCCGCTGAAGCATATTTCTTTTTTGCAACGTTGTTTAAGACGGCCATTTCGATTTGTAGTGCGTGGTGGACAAGTGTGGTCCATTCAAAGTTTTTTTTATTTGGCTGTGGAAAAGACTTATTATTTAGTTTGGTAAGGAAAGAGCAAAACAATGTCTGCTCCAACGTGCTACAAATGCAATCGTCCAGGACATTTTGCCAGGGATTGTAATTCGGGTGGTATGCGTGATGGCGGTGGTGGAGGTGGTAACAGGCGGGGTAATCGTGAGTCGAAATGCTACAAGTGTAACCAATATGGACACTTTGCTCGGGTCTGTACTGAGGAAGCTGAAAGATGCTATCGTTGTAATGGTGTAGGTCACATTTCCAAGGATTGCACACAATCTGATAATCCAACTTGCTATAAGTGTAATAAGAGTGGACATTGGGCTCGTAATTGTCCTGCAAGTTCAAATGATCGCGGCTCTAACGTTTCTTGCTATAAATGTAATCGCACTGGACATATTTCTAAAAATTGCCCAGATACAGCCAAGACGTGTTATTTGTGCGGAAAAAGCGGTCATCTTAGACGTGAATGCGAAGAAAAAGGCGGCCGTAATTAATTATTTACTCCTAAGCATTAAATAAAACTCCATCACTACTACAACTTAGAATCATCAAAGTACCAAACATGAGAGAGAGGAGAAAAATTACTTTACTTAAAAGCTACATCATCTTGCATTCTAAAATTTGAAAGTTTGAGCAGAAACGACATCCTATCGATAAAATTGTAAAATTAAATAGAAAATTCAACTAATTTTTTTAAGTAAACTCATGAGAAATGTAACATTCATCTTTATTCATAAGCCCTTGATGTGTGCTTATGTGCAGAATATAGCAGATTTATTTGAAAACAATGACTTTTGAAATAAATTCAAATATCACTGTGATGTTTTTCTAATACAAATTAAAATACTGGAGCTGATGATTTAAAAAATCCGCATTTTTATTTCATATGTTAGTCATTAATACGTTACCATACCTATTTTGCAATGTGTATGTATGTGTACGATACAATTACTATTGCATTCTAACCTGATCTGTACGTACGTAGTAAAACGTACGTACTGAACAATCTGAATGAATCCAAACAAATAACAAATATGTTTGAAGATTTTATTTTATTAATTTTTCGAATTTCTCTAATAGTTGATAACAAAAAAAGAAATTTAAATTGGTAATCTTACAATTAATCTCAATTAAACTTCACATTAAATAATTACTTAACTATTTTACAATGTATCATTTGAGTAGTATAATTTAGCACCATTTCTTAATAAAAATCAATTAATATAAATTAAGAGGTTGTTCATAGGTGTTCATTTTTACATGCTGAGGTTGTCCTTGGAAATTTTAGCGATTATATGACATAAAGCAGGAACTGAGAATGGTGCATTTGTTGAGGAGGCATTTATTTATCGGACTTATTGCGTATTTTGGTTGTGCCTGAAATACTTTTTTCAGTTTTTTTGCTGCGAGGAAGAGTGCAGCTTGATATTTTTTCCTGAAATTATTTAAAAATATAAAAACCAATATTAAAAATATAGTTCTAATATATTTCATTCAAAACAATTCAAATTTATAAACATTATAACACGTTAAAATGATTGTTCGCTTGTTAGTAGAATTTAATAAATGCATTTGGCAAAAGAAATGAGGATTTATTGTTTATTGTTATCTAAATTGCATGATATTAACATGTACTCTTGAAGCAAAATACATCGCGCCAATATTTTATTCTTACTTCAAACTCAAAATTAGATTTCTGTCTCGTAACCTTTGTTGCGTCCTGAGCCTGTTGAAAATACACTTTGTGATGAAACAGAATCACTGTCACTATTGTACTTTCTTTCGTTTGGTGGACGTGGTGCCTTGCCTTTATTATATAAATGCGGTCGGGGTCGGTTTTTATTAATTTCACGTTTGTTGTGATTATCAGATTCTCTGTCGCTATCATTGTCTTTATTAAAATCAATTAGATTGATGTTATCATTTACATCGTCCGATAAGGAATCTAAAAACAAATCATCTGGATCTCCATATTCAGTTGTGTGATTATAAATGAATTGTCTATTTAAATTTTCCGAAGCATAATTTTTATTCTTTTCGTTCCCAAATGCTTCAGATGGTATTATATTGGTATTTTGAAAATAATTTAATCCCGTGTCATATGGTAGTGGTAGGTTATAAAATAGTTCTTCATGTGAATCCAAATTTTGTATCTGAGAAATATGGTCTTAAGTTCAGTTCATTTCAATATTTACACAATTTGTAATATTAAAATATTGAAAATCTATATCAAATGCCCAGCTTAATTTTATTGGTATGCTAAAAAAATATTATTTTAAATGAAAGAGTACGAAAACCAATAAACCCATCATGGAGTTTAAAATATTTACATTAAGACGAATGACATCATCAGGGACCTCAAGATTGATCCGATCAAAAAATACATAAAGGATAGAGCCCTGAAATTATTTACGAAAACTGACAAGCTTACCAACACCGCGTTATCGAATCTCAGAATGGTTACAGGCTCCTCGGAGAGGTATGCAGATCTGAGGTCAAATATTGCTTAGTCTGATGAATTGTTAAACAATACTCTAGTCAAAGCATAGAGAGGGGTTATGAGGAAACCTCATAACATAATTATATTAATATATATATTGTCTTCAATATAGACTACGTTAACTTTTAGTGAAAGTAAATTACTCAAACTAGTTCAAGAATTATTACAGAAAAGAAAACGTACTGAAATATTTTGATAAGGTAAAATTTTGTCGTTTAACAGAACTTCAGTTCTATAATAACATATAGTTATTGTTTTATTCCTAGTGGTAACACATGCAAGGTTGACGCAGGTCATATATTATATTGTCAAGGGAATAATAAGAATACAAAACATGAGTTAGGATATTGGAAACAAGCTTAGATATCGGTTAAAAAAATCTATCCACATTACTGAAATAGAACTCGAGAACTACTCTTCTTAACGAGTTTCAAGTGTGAGGGCAATCAAGCAAAATATTAACCAGATGATAAAGTATGTGGATAAAAAAATCAGAACAAGGAAAAGTTGACTGCTCACAAATGTGTGCTTTTCCATAAGAAGAAGCTTACATTTCCAATATATGTGATATCAAATCGACATAAAGTAGCAATCTGTAGCTATATCGAAGGTGTTCAAGTTAGCACGATATAGCTGTGGAGTTAACAAATGCTTTCACCAACACTTCCTTGTCTATCATATCAGGCAATGTTGCTGTGTCTCCATTTTGCTGTACACCAATTAAAATAATATATGTATAATATACAGATACACTAAAATTTTTAAATTGAATAAATAAAACGTCAAGAAAAAAAGAACTTGAATACGATCAGGGCATCTGATTTGTATCTAAATATATTGAAAAATAAAATCTAAAAATATTAAACCATAATTGACTGTTAATACCTTTATATATTTCTTGAAGTTTAGATACTTTGTTTTTGATAAATTAAATTAAATAACTTTACCTCTGGACGTTTTGTTCTTAATCGTGTTTTTGAAGCATTTGTCATTGATGAAGCTCGACTCAGTCCACTTGATATAGGCTCAGCACTGGAATAACCGGAGCTAATATCCTCTGAAGAACGAATGTTATAACTTTAAAAAGGCCAAAATAAATTAATAAACTACTGATGCTGATACATTTTTTTGTAATATACTTAAAATTCTCGTTAGTTTTTGTGACATCAACTTCAGTAAAATACATTCCAGTTGAATGTCTACTGCCAGATGCAGAACGGCTGAGAGATGCCTGCATTCTATTGCGAAGCACACGATGCTGTGGTCTCATGGAAGAAATCTCATCAACCTATTTATGTGCTATTTAAATTTTTTTTTTAATGTAATACTTTCACATTACCTCATCCTGAGTGCGTTGCAAATCCGGTTCTGATAGATCGCTAAGACTATAACTGCGTCTTATCGTTTGTACTAAATTTCCACCACCCTTAAGTACAAGTTCAAATCATTAATTCAATTCATTTTAAATATAGTTTACGGCATATTTTCTGATTATTCTTTTCATTATATATTTTAAGCGTTTATTTTTCAAAATTTGTTACAACAAATAAAAAATATTAATGCTACATAATGCTACATTTGTTTAATACTTGCAATGATTTTTTTGTACAAAATGTATCATGTTTTTGGGACTGTGAAAGTCCCACGTAAAAAAATGTTTGGTTGCTGTGATTTATGATAATTTAATTGCAAATTATTGTTAATTCGTAAAATCATATAAAAATATTTTAAAAGCTTTTTAGCGTAAACAAAATGAATTACAAAATTAAATTTTAAATATTAATAAAAAGTAGAAAAATACAAAAATAAATTATAAAAGCAAAATATTCGAGCATATAATAGTATAGTATGCTGAGATCATCGAAATATTTTACTCCACATCCACAAAATTGTCAGGAGTAGCTTCACGCAATTTACGTCTAGTTCGTACGGCTTTTATTGTATCTCTTTCATTTGTTGATTTTGTGGAGGAACTCGCTTTTCGACCCCTTCTAACTGGACGTTCTCGACTTCGTGCTGCACCATTATCAATTCTTTCATCAGCTTCTTCACAAAACTCAGTTTTCATAACTATTGAATCATGATCATCAACCATTACTGCTCTTTGGTCATATAGATTGTTATTAGAATTAACAGGTAATAGTATATTCTGTGTTTCTTGTTCATTGTTGCTGCTTCCGAATGCATACTTAGTATCGATTAGTAGTGCATGTAGTTTAAATATTGTTATAATATGCAAAGTTAAAGAACAAAAAATTAAAATTGAATGAAAGAAAATAAAATTAAAATAAAAATTAAAAAAATTTATTAATAAAATAAATAAAAACAAATATATATGTGTATATCATGAATATTAACAATTATTTAATGATAAGTTAGTTAAGGAAATAAAGATTGTTGTCCCTAAGCATTGTAAATGTATTTAGTATTTGGGATTGAAAATTTTATTTGATTTAATATTGTTAGATTTTCAGAAAAAAGTATTGGGTTAAATATTACAAACTTTGAAACACCAAAGAAGAAGGTTTTTTTTTTAAATAGTTAAATATTTATAAACAGGCTTTCTATTATGTTTTATTGGTTAGTTAAATTTAAGTTAAATGCGTTAATATATCACTTTACACCTTTGCAATAACATATTAAAAGTTATTTATTAAAAATTTACCTTTAATGCGCTTTGCATTATAACATTTTTTGCATAAGTGACTCCAGTATAACCCAACTGAAGGACTGCTGAATAGCCTCTCTCCTTAGCTTGATTAAGATATTCGTCTATTTCCTACATTACAAGAACATTATTAAGTATTAATTCATTTAAAAGTGTGATTTAATTAACGAAGTGTAATTACCTGCTCTCTGCGAGTTAGCATTGGATGTACAAATTTACGGTAAAGAGTGGAGCTACCTTTTGTTGCTGGCGAAAGTAACCATAGCACTATCACAATCTTTATTTCGTAGTAGAAAGGAAACCAAGATAAAAATATGTCAGTCACTGTTTCGATGCACGTGAAAAATGCGTAAACAATCCAATACATCATCCATTTCACCTAATAGAATGGTAAATTAAGAATTAAAATCTGTATCATCTTGTAATAATGTAATAATAATTTTGTACTTACATATTCTTTAACGTTTTTAGTTCGTACAGCTTTGTAGGAAGCGTATGCCGGATATAAAGTTCCAAACGTTAGCCTGTAAAATGCGATCAATACGTTCAGAAACTTATACATTATTATGAAATTACATATACAAGCAATTGTAAAAAATTGGTGTGTACGATTTCCTAATATAAACATAACATGTTCTATACTTGGCTAGTCGTATTCGACTATTTATATAAGATCAGTTTTTTATTTT